TCCGCTGCTTTATGCGTCGCTGCTTTGCAAGCTGCCTCCATCGCTCCAAGTTGCTACAAGCAAGGTCGATCAGATTTATCAGAGAATAAAGCGGAAACCTTTTTGCGGGCTTCCAGTACGGCAAAACTAAAATATTTAGAAAGATTAGTCGCACTCATGTGCTCACAGCAGCTTCGATAGAGCAGCCGTGATGGTAATCCATTCTGATGAAATAAGATGATTTTCCTGAAGCAGCAAATGCTTTGACCGGTTCACAAAAAGTTTGTTCATTCCCATCTATGTCTGCATCGGCCAGTTGCAGTAGAATAAAAACATGAACAAGTGATGTAATATATAGGGTCCGTGTTCAGCTCTAGCTTGCCATGCAGTGCTACTGCACAGGGCGGACAGCGTCGCAAAAATTGTCACTGCTGAAATGTTGAAAAATTATCACTACATTGTAACTTTGCCTCAGAATATTTTATTATTCTCGTAACACTGAATTGAGTAAGTACAGTGGCGAAGGAAAAGTTTGTCATAGTTGTTGTTTTCGCCAGCATGCAGCCAACAGGGACCACTGTCGAAAGTGGGGCAAGGCCCCCAACTTTTTCTAATGAGCACTGGCGCCCCCATGACCCCCCCCCCCCCCCCCCGGTTGATACGCCTCTCTCATAAAGCCTGCAAGACTTCGAGGCTACGGAAAAGCAGCTACACAAAAACACACAGGAAGCAGTATGTGATCTGCATCTGTGACCTGCATCTGTGCTTGACTGCCTCCAGGATCATAGGCATTACAATCCTTAGGCACTCCGCGTGCCTCCACGATCGGTGTCCACGATCGGCGCGCCTCCGTGAAGTCACTTGATCACCTCATCGGGTCACGTCGCATCCCCGCATTGACGTCACTGTGATGTGACGACACGTCTCACACTCTTGCTATTTTCGACGTCATCTTACAATTACGCGTTTTTGAATCACTCGCGTTGACGCAAACGTAGGTTTCTCGCTATGCATCGTCATCTCTCGTAAAATCTCGAAGACGCCAACGGTGAACATTTGTGTTTATTAAGCCGCCGAAGGTTTTCGCTGTAATAACAACAATTTTAACTTCTGCAGGTTTACACGCCCGACTTCATTTTTTGACATGGCAATGGTGGGTTCCGGAAATTGTGCTATTTCTATCACCTGCGCTTCCTTAAGAGTCATATCAGGGAAAGGACTGCTTTAGGTGGAAATGGGAGACAAAACCGATGTTCTTTTTCTGTGGCCATTGATAGGTTAAGAGTCATCTGTCTCTTTTATTCGGGAAGAAGCAATGATAACTACGCATCGGCTTTTGTGAAGCGCAGCCGTGCATACCGTCGGTTTAAGGAAGAGTGACTTAAATAGTGAAGTCATCTGTCGCTGGATTTGTGAAAATGCCGCTTGAATGGTTCATCTTTTAAGCCAGCGATGGCGCCATTATTTCATTGCTATGCTGCTTATTCTTTATGATATTGTAAAGCTGTTTCCTCCTTCACACATAACGACAAAAATCTAGGGAATCGAAGCTGCAAAAGCGAGCAGTAGCTGTGTATTTCAGTATGAATTCAAGTCGGATCGGCTTGGAGGTAGCCAACGTGATCACAACAAAATTACACAAGCCACGGACACCAGACTTGTTCCGCCATCTATCGTTAGCACTGAGAAAACTTTACCTACTTAGTGAGCATTAGAAGCGATCGATGGCGCCACGGTTTTCTTTGCAATAGCGTGTCTCGATGCACATGTTCGCCTCCGCTCCGTTTGCGCGCACCGAGGCACTCGCAGTTCCCAAGCAGCTTTTGAATGTGAAGCATATCGTAGCAAACTTTGGCCACTTTAAGCGTATCTATCTATCTATCTATCTATCTATCTATCTATCTATCTATCTATCTATCTATCTATCTATCTATCTATCTATCTATCTATCTATCTATCTATCTATCTATCTATCTATCTATCTATCTATCTGTCTATCTGTCTATCTATCTGTCTATCTATCTATCTATCTATCTATCTATCTATCTATCTATCTATCTATCTATCTATCTATCTATCTATCTATCTATCTATCTATCTATCTATCTATCTATCTATCTATCTATCTATCTATCTATCTATCTAGCCGCTTACGACTTCTAGCTCTCTAGGCTGTTTAAATAATGCCATTGATACCAAACTTGGTATGCCATATTAAGACTGTATGACGAGCCTAAGGGACTAGTCATAACATAAAAATCATGACATGTATGTCATGAATGTCATAATTTACATTTTATGGCGTTGCTGCTCTTGCGGTGGTTTCGTTCACATTACATGTTGCAAAACTCGTATGGTATGACATGACTGCATGGCAAACACAAGCGTAAGACCCTAACATGATCATCATGAGATGCGTGTCATGTAACAACATGACTACATGCCACGTTCATGATGCGCTCGCAGCCGTTTCGCTGGTGTGACATATACCAAATTTGGTATTACGGGACGTGAATGGATGACAAAGGTATGTGACAGGTACAAACATGATAATCATGAGATGCGTGCCATGCAACAACATGACTACATGCTACGTTCATGATGCGCTCGCGGCTGTTTCGCTGGTGTCACATATACCAAATTTGGTATTACGGGACGTGAATAGATGACGAAGGTATGTGACTGGTGCAAACATGATAATCATGAGAAGCGTGCCATGTAACAACATGACTACACGCCACTTTCATGATGCGCTCGCGGCTGTTTCGCTGGTGTCACATATACCAAATTTGGTATTACGGGACGTGAATGGATGACAAAGGTATGTTGCCCCACCACGGTGGTTTAGTGGCTAAGGTACTCGGCTGCTGACCCGCAGGTCGCGGGATCAAATCCCGGCTGTGGCGGCTGCATTTCCGATGGAGGCGGAAATGTTGTAGGCCCGTGTACTCAAATTTGGGTGCACGTTAAAGAACCCCAGGTGGTCGAAATTTCCGGAGCCCTCCACTACGGCGTCTCTCATAATCATATAGTGGTTTTGGGACGTTAAACCCCACAAATCAATCAACAAAGGTATGTTACAGGTACAAACATGATAATCATGAGATGCGTGCCATCTAACAATATGACTACATGCCACGTTCATGATGCGCTCGCGGCTGTTTCGCTGGTGTCACATATACCAAATTCGGTATTACGGGACGTGAATGGATGACAAAGGTATGTGACAGGTACAAACATGATAATCATGAGAGGCGTGCCATGTAACAACATCACTACATGCCACGGTCACGATGTCCCCGTGGCCGTTTCGCAAGCGTCACATATACCAAATTTGGTATTACAGTATACGTCAATGGATGACGAAGATATGTGATTGGTGCAAGCATGTTCAATATGAGATGCGTGCAATGTAAAAACATGACTACATGCTACGCTCAAGATGCGCTCGCGGCCCTTTCGCTAGCTTCACATATACCAAACTTAGTATTACGGGATGTGAATGGGTGACGAAGATATGTGACTGGTGCAACCATGATAATCATGAGATGCGTGTCATGTAACAACATCATGACCCACTAATGATGCGCTCGCGGCCGTTTCGCCCGCTTCAGATATACCAAATATGGTATTACGAGACGCGAATGGACAACAAAGGTAAATGAAGTGCCAAAAGATGATAATCATCACATGCTTGTCATGTGACAACATGACTGCATGCCACATTAATGATGCGCTGACGGCCGTTTCGCCAGCTTCATATATACTAAATTTGGTATTATGGGACATAAATAAATGACGAAGGTACGAGAATTGTGCAACCATGATAATCATCAGATGCGTGACATGTAACAGCATGACTACATGCCACGCTCATGAAGCGCTCGCGACCATTTCACTAGCTTCACAAATGACATATTTGGTATTACGGGACGTGAATGGATGACAAAGATATGTGACTGGTGCGAACATGATAATCATCAGATACGTGTCATGTAACAACATGACTACATGCGACGCTCAAGATGCGCTCGCGGCCGTTTCGCTACTTTTCCATATACCAAATTCGGTATTACGTGACGCGAACGAACAACAAACGTAAATGACACGTCAAAAATGATAATAATGGCATGCTTGTCATGTAACAACATGACTACATGCCACACTAATGGTGCGGTCACTTCCGTTTCGCCAGCTTCACATATACAAAAATTGGTATCACGGGACGTGAATGAATGATGGAGATATGTCACTGACGCAAACACCGCACGCTGGATGTTAGTCAGCCAATGACAACTGCATCCTGGACTGGAAAGAGAAAAGCGTTTATTGGAGCTACAGTCTAAAATGTTGAAGCAGCTCATGCTGCTGAGAACAATGGTGCGACAGCACGCTTAACTTATACATCTGGAATCTTTCGTTGCAGTGGTAGATTCTGAACAATGAGGCTGCTTCCCTGCGTTCTTGTTCATCTCTTTGGAGCTGTTGTAGACGGTGAGATTTCCTAGCAAAAAAATTTTTGTTTTGCCAGGCGTAATACCTAATGCATTAGCGAAAGTTTGTTTAGCGTTCGTTAGTAATCAATACACACTTCAAAGATGTAAAGAGGGTAAGGAGGGCACTGATGCTGATAATATTGCCTTTCTAGACGTTTCCATAGATTGAGCTTTCACTAGGGCACAAACTGATTTGCGTTTAGTGTATCTTCAAAAAGGTATTCACTTCCAAATTCTATTTATATTTTTTGAACTCTGAACATTTGAATCAGAGTGTACGAATTTTTACATCACTGCCAGTCTTTTGAAAAATGTGGCCGCGTTATTGTAAGTATCACACAATGGACGTAAATTATTTCAAGATGATAATTTTTCACACACTTTGACAATACGTACAACGTAACGTTATTCTGCAGCTGTTCCTCCCAGACAGCAGACTCCAGAAATGTGCATGAAACGGCCTGATCCTGGGAAATGTGAAGCAGTGTATCCATCCTGGTATTTTGATGCTCAGTTGGGCATTTGTAAGCTGTTCCTTTTCAGCGGTTGTGGCGGAAACAGTAACCGATTCAACACGGAACTAAAGTGCCAGGAAACCTGCCTACGTGAGTAAAGTTAGACATAAACTTCCCAGGTTTTTATGCCATAAACAGCCATGAATAGTTTCTCCATACTGAATACCTCATCCCCCTATATTTTAGGGCAGCTTGTTCTATTCAGAATATACGTCATTATTCATGTTGCTCCACAAGCCATGGTATATTCGCCGATATGCAATTATTAAAACAACATTTATGAGCTGTGTCTTCAAGGATGCAGATCTCATGCCATAATGTCTATGTTAACACAAATAATGCTATATCTCTAACTTGTATAAGCAAAATTAGGCAACATGTTCCGGAAACACTTCAATTTTTTTTTACTATCAACAGTGAGGTGAAATGATTATTGCGTCTTACCAATGAGCCGCATGTTTCTGGTCATGCGGAATCAAGGAATTTTAATGTGAAATAGATTGCTGCGCCAATAAATAGCCCAAAAAGAACTGGTTAACAGTGAAATGCATGCATATGAACATTATCTGTTAAGTTTTGGGCCCCTTCATATAGGAGTGCATTATATTTGAATTTATTCACATTTTAGGGTTTAGTACTTACCACTCATTATTTCATGCTTGCAGCTGGCAAGACGCCGCAGTCTCTCTGCAGCCTTCTACCAAGCCCGGTGCGATGCAAAAAGCCATTTTGTTTACGTTGGTACTTCAACCCCAAAACACACCTATGCCAGAAGTACGGGCGTGGTTACGGTGCAGGAAATGTGAACAGTTTCTCGACATGCGTAAAATGCATGACTAGATGTAGCAGTAAGTATAAGTTTTTCAATCGCTGCACTAGACTTTTTAAGCACTATCATTATCTCAGTATATAAATGCGCCACTCTAGAGGCACAAAATTACCAGTTGATTCAACAAGCAACATTGAAGACAAGCACGATTTTTATATTTTAGGCACTAAATGTTTGTTAAAGATCTGGGATTGAAATATTGGCCAGATTTCTTTTTCAGAAGTCTTTCCGCCTCTATGAAAGGGCCAACCCGAAAGTCAACAGGAAGACTCACTGGCTTTGCTGTTGCCCGCTATCTATTTATTTCTGTGGTTGCCTTGACAGACGACGACAACATGAAGGCGTTTTTTGCAAATTTAGTTCATCGAATAGTGTACGAGCTCCCTAATTTCTGGTAGGTAATGCGCACGAATGCTATCGGACGATAGTACCACAGGAAAAATTCACAATGACCTACATTAAAATTTGGCGGTTGTGTCTCTGTAAATGCTAAGGCCCGAATAAAGCATTGAAATAATTATTATTGTTCATGTTGCATCTGATATCTCGTATTCGCTGCTGAAATACTAAAAAGCCAACAAGTTTAATTCAATATGCCTAATTAGACATTCGTTTACAGGTTCCGGCGGGTGAAAAAAAAAGAACTGCCGTTCATATATGATGCTTATAATTATTTGAATGATACTTGCGGCTAAATTGATGCCATATGAGCGAATAACATTCTCGAAAAATTGACTTTCGCTATCAAGCTCAACAATAAAATGTACAATGAATACGCGAAGTGACCGTATACGTTCTTAAGAATTCATCTCATGATAATTGTTTTGAGGTCATAGTTGTAGCTTCAAAAGTATTTTTTTTTTTTGCGATTGGAAGAGAAATCCTGTAATAATTTATCTTTCAGTTATTCAAGCTGTGGAGACCTGTCGCTTGATTCACAAAAAAATGGAAGACATGAAGAAACACAGGGGCAGAAGACTGGACTGACAATATACCGAACTTTGTAAGTGTGCAGCATTTTATGGGTCCGGCATCTAACCCATTCATGGATTTCATGTGGTGTCATCCGGCTGAAAATAAAGTGGTCAATACAGGCCTAAACCAAGATCAGCAATGGTCAAACCTTGTTAAAGTAAACGAACATAATCTAAATATAATGAGCAACCAAAATCACAAAGACGTGATTCCAGTTAATAAATGAATGAATGAGACACTTATTAGAGCAAGCAACGACTCTTCACCCACTGTAAAGGATTAGGTGAGAAGAGTAACAGGCATAAAAAGCGAGGAGCAGCTTCTTGTAACGCCTTCACATGGGTCATGCGACCTCTCCCAGACTACTTAAAACAGGCCACTTTGACCACTATATATCGCGAGAGCTTTTTGTGTTTTTTGGACTGATTTTATTAAACACGCAGAGTAGTCATTCTGCAGCAGATGTTGAATATGCAGTCTGCCTTGTTCAAATACTGTGAATGCTGCTAATGTCCTGATTTTATATCTACTCGTCCAGTGAGTGCATCACGTAGAAGTAGTGTCACTCTAAGGTCGGTCAGCTTGCTGCGATTTGTCTAGTGTATGTGGTGTGTATGCACTGCTTGCCATTATTTTTATAAAAAAATATTTTTGATGAATTAACGTACATTTTTAATTTATCATACCCACTCCTGTAGCTTCTGTCTATTTTTGCTGTGGGATTTCATTTTACTGCGAACGTGGAGCAGTTTCTATTAGGAAGGCCTCCTGCCTATAAAGTGTTAAATCAAGATCGCAAAAACATGTCTAAAACGTGCGGCTGACTCCCGCTAAATGTCTGTAAAGGCACCACCATCTCACCACGCACACGGCTGCCCCTCTCACCAGAGTTTTCTTTTCGGAGAGGGGGGGGGGGGGCGCCACGTGTTAAGAACAAACAAGCTATACTGATTGAACCCTACAGTCGCAACGAACAGGAAGTCTGCAAAGTGTAGCAAAAGTTTGCACGCATGTGGCACATTGCATTTGTGCATATCTTAGATAAGATTCTACTGGTGTCGGGGAAAGTCCACATGCTTCCCTCAAATACTGGTGTCATTGACGTTTTCGTAAATGGCGCAGTAGGAACTCTAACGGTAATCACGGTCTGCTAGTACTGGGCACTTTTTCAGGCTTATCAGTAGTGGAGCTATGTCTTCTTGAACACGTTTCAACGATTTACGCGGTATATAATAATAATTACTAGTCGTTAAAATATCATAACAACGAATTTCTATTGTTTTTGTTGAAAATTCAGTTTATGTATCTCACCTTCTTCTACAGTTTATTTGTTATTGCAAATTCTCATATAAAAAAAAACATAGTCAACGCATATGCTAAGACGCGCTTGTCTTGAAACTGCTACTTTAGACGATCATGAAGAATGTCTTGGTCGCTCCTAGGTAATTTGAAGGCCTTGAACTGCTGACGCAGGTTTTTTTTTTTTTTGCGCCCATATTGTAGTGAGGCTTAAGCTAGCTGATGCTAGGTTGTTAGCACTTATTTTGCGTGAAGTGCGGCTTGAACTAAACCAAAGACATTGACAGACACGACGAGGATGTCCTAAATCTTGAGACTAACTCACGCTGAAACCAAGCATTCACGCCCCATAGATACACGAGCACGACGTCGTTGACGTGTGCTTTCCATCGCTTCGGGGTCTTCCCGCAGCCTGCAAGTCGCCTTTTAGTATTCACTAAAGGGGGCCCCTTACTCGCACTCAGCGATGCACTGCAAGGAGTGCACCTGCCAACCGAAGTTTTCCGACACACGAATAATTGACAGGCACGACAAGCGGACGACAAGAGAAATAATGTAGGCGTATAGAATAAGGAAAGGGGGGAGGACAGTTGCGGCAGCCAAGCAATAGTTCTACTAACAGATGCGGAATTTGCTTTTTTGGACGTCACATAACCCAGTGTTTTCTGTATGTTACGTTTTCTTGGTTTTTGTTTTTGTTCTTTCGTTTCTTTGGGTTTTTCTGGTTTTTGTTTCTTGTTTTTTGTTTTTTTTTGTTTTCTAATTTTTTTTTCGTAGTTCTTGACCCTTGTTTGTTTCCAGTTGTGGGCGCGTGCATATTTTGTTATCTCACGTTGTTGATGATGACAGGGGAAGTCGGGAATGACGTACATGCGTTTGATGTATTTATTAGTGCTCACTTCGAAATAAAATTTTCAGTTGCTAGTAAGCGCTTGTCGGTGTCCTCTCTGAGTGTGCTTTTTTGCGCTTGTTTCATCATGAGTATTCTCTCGTTGTACGTACTCAGGATCTTCGGCTCGCTGTGTTGCTTCCAAGTGATTGGTTGGGCAAACTGCTGCCTACTTTATTTTTATGGGATCAGTGATGAGTAGTCGAATTTACCCAATTTTTGTGGCAGATACTTGTTGAAAATTATGATAGTTCCCTCTTAGTACGCACGGAGCCCCTTCTCTTTCTCTCACCGCTTGTTCTACTGTATAGACGCCACAGGAGAAGAACAGCGTTGACTGGTCGCGTAGGTAGTCGAAATGCTCAACCTTTAGTTCTGGATGAAATAAAATTTGATTGATGATTGATATGTGGGGCTTAACGTCCCAAGACCACCTTATGATTATGAGAGACGCCGTTGTGGATGGTTCCAGAGATTTTGACCACCTGGGATTTTTTACGTGCACCGAAATCTGAGCACTCGGGCCTACAGCATTTCCGCCTCCATCGGAAATGCAGCCGCCGCAGCCGGGATTCGATCCCGCGACCTGCGGGTCAGCAGCCGAGTACCTTAGCCACTACACGAACACGGCGGGGCCGTGAAATAAAAACTTAATGCAACTACTGCATAATGTGAAATGCCCGTGCCACCTCCCTGTTGTGCGTCCTAGTTTTTCTCTGCGGTAGATATTAATGCGATTGCGTTAAAAAGCTCGTTTCACAGTTATTCCAGTGTCGGCATCGGTGTCGGTGTGGTTGATGGTGAGTAAAAATTCATCTTATGCGTGACGGGACAAACGAGAACAATGAAAATAAAAAATAAATATACCAAACCATAGAGCAGGGTGGAGACCGAAACAGGGTTGTTTGGGTCCGAGGGGGGATCGAACCCGGGTCGTTTAAGGGCACGTGTATGTTCTACCACGCAGATACGCCTCTTTTTCTCTTTAATGAATAAAATTATCACTAGTAAAGTACACACGACATACTTCTTCATAAGTCAGGCAAACACGCACAAGCGACAAGAATGGGAAGCCACTCCGGAACGGGGTCAAAAGTATCAACAACACTGCCACTTGAACAGCTGCTTCTCGGAAGACAGATCTCATCGACCGTGGTGGCCCGGCGTGTCTATCCACCATGCAACTTTTCCATAGTGAATAAAGTCCCAACAACATAAACAGGTCACAAGGAGTGTTATCAGGCAGACTCTTTTTGAATGGAAGGAGCCTAATACCATGAGCTGCGATTGAAAGTTCTTTTCTTAATGTTCTTTTTAGAATGTCCCAAAAATAAAAAAGCACCACGACAATGAATAAAACAATGCTCTATAGTCTCAGGTTGGTTGCAGAGTCTACAACTCACTGTCCAGGGTACGTAAAATGATTTTTCATTCAGCCACGTTTTCACTGGCCGCGTGAAAGTGTGCAGTTTAAAGAAAAATGTTTTCGCTGAAGGAGATATACACATTCTACGTACACGAAATAATACATGGTGACCAGGCAGAAGCGAATATGGCTTTCAATAAACAGGTTCGAGGAAAAGGTTATTCACAAGTGTAGTGGTTAAATTTGTTCGATAGTATACAAATACTCTAAGCTAAACCTGGCTTTCAAAAAATTGACAGTATCAACAATTTCCTTTAGGAATCCCCGCAATGGCGATTCCTTAGCAACGCTTGTTGTGACTTGAATAAAAGGGAGATGGTAGCTTAGACGGTTATGAAGAACCGCTAATAGAAAGGGGTGGCACACATCCTTGAGGTCAAAAAATCGCAACACCAACTGTTGCGCGAACAGATGCACCAGGCCGAGGCCACCCTTTTCAAGCGGAAGAAAAAGATTGTCTTTTCTCATGTGTTCCCAGGAAGAGCTCCAAATAAAGCAGGCAAATATCCTATGAAAGGCTTGAGTGTGTACACACCTGGAGAATATAAATAAGATTTGATGCAAGAAATATATTGCACGCTTTCTCCCTGGCAAAAATGGAAAGCTCCCGTCCCTTCCATGATGCCACCTTTCGGCGGATCGTAGTTATCGCAGCAGTCCAGTGTGGGCCGCTGTTACAATAGTTATCGAGAGGCACACCGAAGTATTTCATAGGAGTTGCATTCCAATGAATATTTGCGAAGAACAAAGGAGTTTGGGCCCACATGCCTAGCCAGAATACACTACTTTTATCAAAATTTATGCTGGCGCCAGCGACTTCGCAGAAACGTAAAGTAGTGCTGACTGCTTCATGAACGCTGGGTTTATCAGTGCAAAAGAAGGCAATGTCATCTGCATAAGCTAGAACTTTAACTTCCTCAGCATCATATTGGTAGCCTTTTATGCTAAACTTTAGAAGCACACTTGAACATAATGGTTCCAGATAAATTGCAAAAAGCAAAGGCAAGAGTGGACATCCCTGACGTACAGATGAATTTAACTCCATTATCTTAGAAAGTGTGTGATTTACAATTAGCCTAGTTGTGCACTTCTTATAACAGAGTGAATTACCATTGTACAGTACATCACCCAACTGCAGGTGTCTTAGGAGCCGGAACAAAGAAGCATGATGTACCTTATCGAATGCTTTTGCAAAGTCTATTTGAAGGAGGGCTACTTGATCCATGCTACCATCAATACACTCAAGAACTGAACGTGCAATATGAATGTTTGTCTCTATAGAGCGACCGCGAATTCCACATGTTTGGTGGTCACCTACACATTTAGTGACATGTCGCCTTAGAAGACGACATTAACGAAGTGCGCGCGGGGCACTGGCGCTGTGGCACGAGCGCGAGCCTGGCGTCGAACGCTGGCCAGGAGTGACTCCAACGCCTGGGCTACGCTTTTGAACTTGTTCACGTTTCCTGTCCTTTAATAAATCGTCTACAGT